CAAATACGATAATAAAAGGTTAGTTTGCAAATATTCTATTACAATTTGTTTAGTAGGAATAAATATAACAATCCACAACTTAATTACACCTCCTCTTAATTTTCAGTGGTTATCGACAGTAATAAGGACAAAAACAATTTTAGCGTCTGTTTTATTTGATTGTTTTGCGCCGGCTTACCTGGATAACTTACCAGTATATTCGCAAGTGGCTGACTACTAATCCCACATGATTTCCCTATCAGAAGTGAGAGACAGATTATCATAAGACATATCATGATTATATTCAACATACATCATATATATCAAACAGTTTTTCCATTCTTGCACAATGAATATGTCGAACTCTAAGCATTTTGAAATACGCACGTATGCAAGCGTTAACAAAGTTCTTACCAAGTCCATTATCAAATAATGGCACAGAAACTCCTGTACCTATAATCGCCGTCACATTTGCATTTAAAACAGCAGATCTCCCTTTCGATACATCAGCTCCCACAACAGGTAGATTGCCAGAGACAAAGTCAAAATTAACTGGACTGATCCATGAATCAACTCGTACTACCTCAGGTCCAGTTGGTTCCGAGGTAACAATGTGCTCAAAAGTGGATTCTGCTTCGATTGTTGCATTGTATCGTCCGGGCTGTAAAGCATTTCATAGCAATGAAAGCAATCACATGTTAAAATGAGTTGAACACATTCGTGTGCAATTTAAACATTATTCATGCACTTAACTGAAATTCTGTCCTAAACATTATACGTAAGGCAAAACATAAAAAACGTAAACAAACTATTACGACAGTTATAATTATATATTATTCTGTGGATTGATACTCAGAGAAAAAAAACACTTTATCAATGAAGAAAAGCAAAATAACTAATTATAATTAAACCTTTTTCTAAACTTTTAAATTTAATATCGTACATCTGGTGGTCAGATATTTAAGGCTTACCTCTGCTATCCCAGGAATACATAATACAAGACTGTCCCCATTGGCTTGTTGTGAATATAAGGTTCCATTCGGACTTTCAACATTAATATTTATTGACCCTGACACCTTGTTTAGCACACTAACGGTAGTGTTCTTTCCAACACTGTTATCTACATCAAAAGTGAATGTATACGGTGATGGACCAAGAGTGTCAACCGTCTCCGATATAAGCTATTTGGAAAAAGATATATATTTAATATTCAAGTTCATTTTAATCGAGCAGCGTCAGCAGCTTGTTGTTTTTGAATGAAGAGTTAGGAAATCAGTTGAAATGAATAGACATTACAAAATGATTTATTATAATTTTACAGAGGGCTTTTATAAAATAACATGACATTTGATCATGTTTGTTGTTAAGAGTGAGAACAAGAATTCTCAGCTTTCAGTCAGTTACAAGTGTCTGTTGTAATCACATATTGGAACTTTTTTTCATTTATCTTTTAAATGAGAACATGCCTATTTGCTTACTATTTTGATATCCATTTAAGTCTATTAATAATATATAGAAATATATCTAGACAAAACACAAAACACATTACATCTGAATAAACAAATATATATCAGTTAAACAACGAACCGTGGTTGATTCCATAGCTGCTTGTGTAACCCCCTTGGAAACAACCCCCATAAAGACGGACGCAAAATTAATTGTCTCAGTTTCAAGGTAAGAAATATGAATTCCTCCTGTTCTTGTTGCCATGGATATCATTCTTTCATCTGCTGCTTGGGAAATAGAAATGGTGTGTATGACACATTTCTCATTTATAGCGTGTTCGACAGCAGAGTCAAGGCTTCCACCGTTGTCATTACCATCTGAAATTACTATGATTTCACTTCCACTTAAATCCGTGGAAACCAACCTGAAAATCTGAGAGAAAAAATATAATGGTTCTAATTGAAGTAATAGAATTATTTCGTAAATATCAAAAAGATATCAATAACATACACTTTAATTATAAAAATATGTACATGTATATATAAAATAAACGATTCAGGATCTAGTAATTTAATTTATGGTTGCTGGCGCTATTTTAAAATACATTTTATTTATTTGTTCTCGTTTCATAAAAACAAATAATCGATTATCTCATGATGGAATGAAATATTCGTTATTTTCATGAAGGACTGAAATTAATTCATATCAATTATCTATAGGAAAATTATCGGATCAGTAATCAGTAGGAGCCTAGGTTCGATCCGCAAGCAAGGCAACAATTCCCAGTCACAATTGTCATTGGAAATTGTGTGGTAATTGTTTTCTTTTTACAAATTATTGAACAGACGGGCATCCCCTTCAATGAAAGATAGAACGCTTACCCATCAAATGACCTTCAAATATGTTCAAATGTATACATTGTACATGAAACAACGAATGCTTTACCTCTAACGCTTTTTCTATTCCACACCCGATGCATGTCCCTCCATTGGCCATTTTAGGTAATGAAGAGACCAGATGGTCTCGAACTTCTTGTGACACAACATGGGTTAACTTCATTTTGACGTTAGCTTGGTCGTTGAACCAAATTATACCTAACCAACTATTGTCTGGAATTTTCTTTTGGATCACATACTTACTGGCTTGGTATAGCTTATCTATTCTTTCATTAGTCTGGCAAAATAAAACACTAACCAGTTAGCAAAATTTATTAAACTAACTTAAGCTGTATTCTCCGGAATATTCAATCTTGAACCTCAATATTACTCATATTTGAGTGAGATGCTTTATCTTTTAATAACATTATGATATAGAGGATATTTGTTTAGTTCAGTGTAAGATCGGAATATATTTCACCGAGCGAGCACCAAAAGGTATATTTCACGAGTGGCGCAGCCACAAGTGAAATATGAATTTTTGGTGTTCACAAGGTGAAATATATTTCGATCTTACACTAAACTAAACAAATTTTCTTTTTATTATATGCAAATAAACTTTTTAAAAAGACATTAAACCTAATACTGAATGAAAAGCGCGCTATATAATAATACAACATGACGTCATTTACGACACGTCATTAAGTTGGTACCAGTACTGTGCACGCTGGTATTTCACTGAAACAACGCAAGGGGCTTAAATTCAAAACAGTGAAATTACCAGTTTTATATCACTGATATATTTCTATAAACCACCGAAAAGCATGTAATAAATATTATTCACGAGAGTTTTTATATAATCAAGGGTGATGTTTCAAATGAGAGGCGTGCCAAATATGATGATGAAGTTAATGAACTTATGTATGCTTGTAATATTTAATAAGCAAATGAATCGATAAATAAAGAAGATTCATACATCCATACTACCAGAAATGTCTAATACAAACACACGGTAGCCATCAGTTTCACGGACAATGTTGAACACAGGGGTTGTATCAGTGACTGCTGGCAGGGGTTCTGAAAAATAAAAGCCGGTTTGATAAGACAATCGTGATTTAAAATTAGAATATTATTCTTCATAAATATTCAAAAATGTACTGTATTTATTCTGATTCTTCGGAAAATCATAAGAGTTTCAAGTCTTAATTGGCATAACTAAAATATCCATAACATCTTATTATGCTAAAAAAAAAAACAAGAAAAAAAAAACAAGTAAAAAAAAACAAGATGATCTATCCGTTGATTATTTTGTAACGAACAGATATTACTAGTAAGTCATTCATACATAACTTAAACACTTTATCAATCTTAAAGATAACTTGCTCATTTTAAAGCTATTTCTTAGATGTCAAATACAATTTTTGAAAAAGACTACACACAATTAATAACATTTTATCAATCTTCATTTTTAGAGGTAAAATACTGGAAATGATGCCCCTATCGAGTATAACATAGCAACTCAAAGGTGAACTAATTTTTATTTAGATCTGATCGTGAATATATTGCAATTTGCTATATATCTCAAAGTTGAAAACCTTTTGAGTTTTAGAGTTTACATTATTTGAAACGATGTCCTCGAACGAGAATATATCAAAGTTCTAAAGGAAATTTTGGGGTGATATCCCAGACATCCTGTTTGAATTACAAATAGATCTATCTATTAACTGTTCAAATGTGATATCTCATTTTTTTGTTATTATAATGTGTGTTTATTCTATGGTTAATGAGGGTTCATCCGGCATTTCAGGCCTTGAGAGTACGGATCCCTTGCTAACTGTAAAGAACAGTCTTTACGTTATATTGATGTAACAGATAAGTGCTATTGAACCTGATTGGAAGTCAATATGGTCCCTCATTACTTCCCATGCACTACGGCCTTGACATTTGTCATTTTGTTGGTTTGGAGCTTTACTGTTATGTTTCTGATGTATGGGGATAGTTTCATCATCTTCTTTATCACAAAACATTGTTATCTGTTAAAATAAATATAAACTTATAAAACATCTTGTTTTATGACCGTTTAACACAGCATGACCCCAAATGATAACAAGAAGAACATGCAGTCAAATGCAGACAAATATCTTTTGATATTTTTCTTTACTAAAAATAATAACATGAACACGTGATTTTATACAGTTTATCAAAGTTTGAGATAATATTTATCTATTGCATTTATATAGGCTGCCAAAAATGTATTCAAATATAACAAGTCAGATCCGCAGATGTTTTCACACGAAAAAAAACCCCGATTATTTATCAAGTTTATCAAGAAGGAGAGTAACAAATTAAGATATTTAATAGACCAAAGAGCAATGCTTGCAGTTTTCAAGGTTAATAATCTTCGGAAGTATAAAGTGATGCCACATACCCCGTCTACCCAGTTGTATGCCATTATTGAACTTAAATTGGACTGTGATTGGGTTTCATGGGGACAGAATTGACAGTCTTTATTCATCACTTCAGTTGTGTCAGTAACTGTACAGGAGGTTGACGCTGAACATTGTTGACCCATTCCAACAATTCCTTTTACTTTTTTACTGCACCTAAAAATTACTTTTCACTTAATGTAATACGTGTCCCATTAAGTATTAAAAATTGTATCTGAAACCTGAAATTGTGAAAACTTTTATTTTCCATTTTTTACAGGTTTTAATTTTAATATATACATGTACATGTATATTTTGTCAGATAGTTTTGTCTTTTATCAGATACGAAGCTTTAAAAAGTAATCTTTTAAAAAAAGTTTCCTCTCAATAAAAATCTCAGACAGTTGTTTTTCAAGTTCTAAACTTGACATGTTCTATACTGTACATCTATATAGTCTTTAACGTTAAAGATGTCACATTATTAACATTAAGCTAACCTTTCAATTTTGTATTTTGTCTCGTTATGACAACTTACGTCCTCCTTTATAGTAAAGTACATTTGTGTAGGATTTGAAAACGGTATTTTACCTGGTAGGATGCCACACACCATCTTCCAAATAAAATCTTTTATTCTTCTCTAATGGATATTCATCAAATAATCCCCATCTTAAGTGTCCCCACTCATGAACCAAAACGTTTTCTGCTCCGGACATTAAAAGTAAAGGATACAAAATTACAAATTTGCCTTTTCTAAAAACTACAATAAATTCGCATTCATAATCAATCAAATTATTACAAAAAACATTTTGAAATCTTTTGATAAAATATTTTGGTAGAATCTTTATTTGAAAATAAAAAATAATCAGTATCCTTCTTTACCGTGATGTCCCCACTTAGTTCTCCCTTCTTCCAGTAGGAAATCAGCATGGAGATACATGTATCGCCCCGCGTGTCCGCACTTCTTTTCTCTACGCTTTGTATGCGGAGATATCATTTTTCCCGCTTCTACTGTTATGTATGACTCCAACTCAGAACGTGCCTTCATTGCGGTATATTCTGGTTTCGCAGTCCAAGACTTGGGTAATATGATGTTTATTTGACCAAAGTAGACATGGTGTCTGGTAGCTTCGAAAAGCATCTGTGACGCACTTGTAAATACATCCTGAATACAAAAATAGTTTTTATAAAATGTCGATACCATGATCAGAATATATAATGGAGTAATTAGGATAAAAGTATATTATTAGGAAAAACTTGCCCCTCATATGTTTTAAAATTGACAAAGCATACATACATTTCATACACATTTGAATATAAGATGAAAACACTTAGTTGTGATTTTCAGTCAGAGATTAGTACACAGTTTTAGCCTAAACATCTATTCTTAAAATACTGGAATAATATATCAGTTTTAGAATGCAATTATTTTGATTCAAGAATCTGAACAAATAATTTAACCTACGTATAAAGATACCAAATTTTACCATATCAATACTTTATTCAAACAGATACTTGTAATTCATTGAATAATATGTAGCTTTATTTTTTAATTATCGTCAACAGAAACAAGAAGAAAAAGTGTCGGAACATTTTCACAAGTTGCAAACTAAGTTTATAATCTTTTTTGATTATGTATAATTATGATATAATAAAATAAGCCCAAAATAAGAACCGAATTTATAACATCATGATCTGATCTCGATCAAAACGATTATTACAAACATATTCAACTTGTTATATATATATTGACATGCTTGCTTTTATCACAAACCTGGATCCTTTTTAAAAGTGTGTCATTCTCTACAACAGTGTCTTGGATAACGATATTCACATCTTCGTACTTTCCCTTATCAATAGATATACCGGAAACACAAGCTGTCATTAAAGCAAATACCAAAACAGTTACTGGGATATACAGCATATTTCTGTAGTTATTTCAGCATCAGCATAAAATACTACATCTGAAATAAAAATACAAACAGACGTTGTACTAACAAGTTTCTACATTTTTAAGATGTCTCACTTAACCAGTTGAAGACACGATTTAAAGTACGTCGTTTACATATATATCCAATTTCTTTGACATTGGCATGGAACATTGCATCGGCTACTTTTATAATAAACATACTAGTTTGTCACTAAATGTAATATTCGGCATATTTTGAGCTTATGTATTTTACGCTTGACTTGATAGCTGAATTTCACAAACGTTTGTGAATTCAATGCCTTTGATATCATATAGATGTACAAATTTCCTTTTGTATTAGTTCGCATACATATCTGATCAGGCACTTGCCTTCCACTTTTCAAAATGAGTATAAATAAAATTATCATATGTGTTCTTAAAAATGGCATAGCCAAATAACTACATAGATGCAACATCAACATTTAGTTTCAAACTGATATTCTCTTTATATAAGAAGTTTACAATATTTCATCAAATCCATATAATACAAGAACACTACAATGCTGGTGCAGACAATCTTTGATTTCTAAATGTTGCCAAAACATTTGCGGTGTTTAGAGAATATGGCTAGTGGTGTCTGGAGTTAAGGATTTTGCTTGCGTTCATAATATTCATTGAAAACAGATCCAGAGACGGATATGGGTAAAGAGATAAGCATACGGCGTATAGAATTAGCACGGCTGGTCGAAAAAACAAAGGGTGACATGAAGGTTATTATGACGGAAGTTGTAGAGATAGGTTTGATGTCCAGTTATCTGTTAAGTGTGACAAAAAACACTGTAACGATTTGACTGTTGAGCGTTGATCATAGTGATATTAAGTTCATTTTTATTGTCAGGTCGAGCTGAATTGGGTATATGTTTCAAATGGTGCACTGTTATAATGGCGATTGACCAATATTTAATAATGGCAAATGTTCAGGATTAAATATAAATCTGCGTAAAATATAAAAAAATGTCCCTCCCTTTTTGATAATAGAACGTTGCATGTGAATTCCGATGAATATTTATAGAAAATTCCTTTGGCCACGTGATATATTTATTGTTCGTGCAATGTAAATTATAAAAATTGAAAGCACTTACAGCAAAGTTTTAATTTTTATAGATTTTTACCTTTAAACAAACAATTAACCGCCGGATGGGCATAGTGATACTTTATGCATATGTTTTTTATCCGTCGAACATGGCGAACAAACATGAATACAAAATGAAAAACACAGGACATGCAAAAGTTTTCTTGGCACAAGTGTGTAAGTTTTGTTTTTCATAGAATGATCTACAGCACAATATTCTTCATTACTTGTAGGGAAAATAAGATTTGAATGTATTTCTGCCACACAAACTTTATTTAATTCAGAACGAATGTTCGATTTTATATGTTACTTTATGCATTCCATTATGTTAATAAAACATTATTGATAAGTATGCACTTAATTGATTAATTGATTAATAAATCTAGATTTTTAAAAAAATAACCAGGATACAAAAAGAATATTTTATAATTAAGACACTTGACAACTATGTGATTACCTACTTCTTTTCTTTTAGAATTAATTTATAAACGTAAAGCATGTAGTTTAAGAAGACTTTAATACGATGTCAATTTAGTATATCCTAGGATACACACGTATTTCAATTAATTGTATGTGTTGAGCAATTTAAACGCATTTCTGTTTCAGTTAAATGTGCTAGCTATAACTAAGGTGATCTGAGTACAGGACTGAAACGGCAATTGCCAAATGGTTTGATTTTCAGAGGATTATAGCCGACTTACATTTATCCTTCTGATAAAAAATACAAGTGCTTTTTTGCATGTTATACTAGTATACCTTTATTCAAATAATAGCATTTCAACTTTGATTAACTGTTTTAAATATTTATGTCATCATTACAAAGATATAAAAAATAGCTTTAAAATAATTTTTAATAAAAAATGCAAATAGCGTATTTGCGTTTAAATTAATTTCACTTTGATGTATTATATTGCTTATTTTGATATTAATAAACATTTGTATCAATTTAACAAAATATTATCAGAAAAAGAACTTACCTGTTTACATCCTTATCCGAAAGAAGAAAGGATCTTAGATGATCATGAATTTATACAAGTGATAATGATATCTGAATTAAGTGATTTTTTATCAATTACTATCTTATCATAGATCATTTTGTAACATGCCATAACAGCATGCTCTCCTCATTATCATGATGTTATGTAATTCATGCGCTCATTATTCCTGATCATCTCTCAAATCCGTCCTTTGTTAAGAGCATGTAGGCTTTTATTTTGATTGGAGGCCAAACACAACTTTTAATGGCATTACACGGACGTGTAACATTGAAAGTATCCACTGTTTTGTATGAACACATTTTAGAACGTAAGAAGGTTATAAATACAATCACTATGTTTTATTTTGAATTGTGCTTGAGTTGGTGTTAGGGTCAAGAACTTGAATTTACCACTGCCATCATTGAATATATTCAATTAAGCAAAGCTTGCAATATTTTTCAATCAAGCTTTAGTAAACTATGTCAAATTTACATCATCGAGGTTTTTTTTATAGAGTTAAATAGCAGTTTTTATTGTTTCCGAATCCAATAAAGCCATATCAAATCATTTTTTAAACTCAATCTGGACTCCAGTTTTATTTATGAGTCTAAAAACTCCAAATCAAATTGTACTCCGGATAGCCTCATTTTGATTTTCATAGTCAACAGAACGCTATAACAATTAAAAAATTTATGACCAGAAAATGCATATCTAAGCAAAGAGTAATGCGCTTTACATGCACAAATTTCATTGTGACAATGTTATTTAACATTAGCGTTGACGTAAAGGCTCACTCGAAAGTTTTCAAAGTATTTGCCTAAAAATATAACTTAAACCTGACTATATTTACTGATTACCTCATGAAATGCGATAGCTTGAATAGATTAGATAATAAACACATGCCATCTTCTAATTTAAAGGTTGATTAACTCCTGCAACAATATGCAGAATGTAAAAGATTATGCTCTGTTTCTGCCATATAAATTTTCTCCACATCCAAGTTTAATAAAATTGGTTATCAATGCACTATTTAAAAGTTGAATAATATGTGTTTTTTTTTGTTTTTTGAGTCAAATATTTTTACGGCCCACTCACATAATAAGAAATGCTATCATTTTTGTATCATAAAAAATCCTTGAAATTTTTGGTATCTTGGTAAGGCCTCAACAGACGGTAGGATTAAGTTGTACAACACTAATTAGAGATATGATGTACAATTTTCAAAAGCAATGCAACACTTGCATTTAGACCGTAATTCATCATTGTAGGAATCATCAGGTTTCCCTAAAAAAACCTCCCAACTGATCCCTTACATACTTCACACACTATTTTTTTTTTCTCCCTGAGTAATGATTGAAACTCCTCCATTTTTTTTTAAAATAAAAAAAGTCTATGATTGTAACAGGGGGAGATTAATGTGCAGTCTGGCCGAGACTCAAACCTGAGACCCTCGGAGTACAGTACTCTACTCTACTGACTAAGTAACAGGGGGAGATTAATGTGCAGCCTGACCAAGACTCAAACCTGGGACCCTGGGAATACCGTACTGCTACTCTACTGACTGCGTAACAGGGGGAGATCAATGTGCAACCTGACCGAGACTCGAAACTGGGACCCAGGGAATACCGTTCTGCGGCTCTACTGACTGAGCTATCCGGCCGCTTACAATTAACACCTCTCCCCCCGTCGATTAGTGAACAGTTCAATACCGTGACATAATCAGTTTCTGAATGATTTGGGATTTGAACATACCACAACTTTTGGGTCGCCTGAAGAGTTTTTCAACATCATTTTTATCCCCTATTTCTACTTTGTTTACATTTAAGCCCTAATTGTTCTGGAATTTCATTCATTAAACACATTATCAGGGGATAATTGGGAAATATGTCATCTGTCATCGTGGGAGGTCTATACAAAAAGTATTAAGAGATAGAACATGTCCTATCCTGTAAATCTTGTCTTAAGTTGCATGAATTCAAGAAAAAGTAGCCGTCACACATTGAGATTTGCTTGTACATCTTAGTTTTAATTGGTGTTGTACTGCAAAATCCTACCGTCTGTTAAGTCTCCTAAAACTATTCATTTGTCATACAGATGAACCATCTTTGCTCAATTTGTTTTGTTAGCAATCGGTTAAATTATAGAGAAATAGCATTTTGTATGAAAGTCAAAATACTACTTTGTTTCAATTGGTACAATTACGACACATTACTACACATTCAGCGATACTTTATTCAGTTGTTTAACAACTATCATGCTCTAAAATCATTATTAAACACATGTTTGACATTTCTAAAGAATTTAATAATGCATAATATGTTTTTAAAAAACATTGTAATTTCTAATATGTTCCCACATGGCATCATGGGAAGAAATTTACATAAGTTTTATCCACGTTTTCCTAGCTACATATTGTGATGTAAAATGTTACATGTTTGTTAATTTTCTAAATGAAATATGTTTCAGAATATTTTCATCGTTAAAAGAACTATATCAAGATGTACATATAAAGTCTTTTTTTTAACTTGCATGCCTGTAGACATCATTGGAATCATTATATTGTCTATTTCACTATACAACCGACGTATCTTTAAAATATTTTCGCTCCTAAATAATGCTACTAATTAGGATCTGATGACCACCAATAGGTTGTCACCTTCTCGCGACCTTTCAAACAGCCAATCATCGACCAGCTTTCACAATTTAAAACGATTCTAATTTTAACCGCTGGAAAACCGATTCTGACAAGGCAGTTTTCACGATTTCGAGAACAAACATGGCCGGCAGATAAACTGGCAAAAACAATCTTACACATTAAAAATTTTGTCTATGATTCCAGTTTATTTGTTTCAAATCACTTCAAACATTTTTTTCTATCAAAAATCAACAATCTGCTTTACTTCAAGGGACAACAGTATTTTGATACTTCGTCTTATGTCTATCTGT